GCAGGTAAATCAAGCCTACTTGAATCACTTGTGTTAATTACATATATCAATGCATATCTATCTGTGCATTCTAATATGAATACCAAAAATAATATGTATCATAATTTTTATTCAAGTCAAAGTCACAGGATGGAATACCTCAAATTATATACCAGTGTTTATCCCCAAATACTCACACACATCAATTGATGCGTGAGATTTGAGAAGATAATGCAAATTGGGAACGTCATATTGGTTTTAACATTGCGCCGTAAGGACCCAACATTATTTCGGGGAGGAGGATAGTGTTGGAAAGTCTATGGTGCGAATACTAAATATAAGTGGTTTCACTATACAACCGACATGATGATTGTATACAATTCCAGAACACAGGTGAGTCTGTTCCGATTTCGGTTGTTCATTCTAACACTTTCGAGTGCATTCTAGATAAAACAATGTCTACATTCAATACACTGTCAAAACAGACGCAAGATGAACTCCAGAAGAAGACTTACAATCGGTTACAGACACTTACACTCCAATTTCAGCTGTGGAAGATGTGATGTTTGAATGAACCAATGACTTCGTATTGATGACTGTTTTGATTTTGAATTCCAAATACAATACATTCGTTTGTGCTTATCTAATACTTCCTGATTAAATTGCTCTATCCCTGTGATTACTAGTTTATACTACAATTCAAATACTTCTGATCATCATAGAAACCCCACTCGATAATCAATAACCATGACGATACTGTTCTGGTATCTGACAACCATCCCAAAACAACACGCTCTTGAAGAAGTGTAAGGCTGATATAACAACTGAATGACTACTACGCGTAGGACACTGCATGACATTTTTCTTTCTCGTTTGCTTGTACTGCAAAGTCAAAAAACATGTTCTCTCTTTAATACGCTCATACATTTGTGTATTACCTTTTGTTCGCTTAAAAAATTACAACATAAAATTCATTGTGCGAACATTTTTATTTTACCTCATGTTATCAGTGCATGTGTATACCAGTTTGTTTCTTACATTTCGCGTCCTTAAGCACGTACAAGTGTATTTCGAAATGCATTTACACTTTAATTTTTTCTCTTTTCAGGGACGACTGGAAAAGATGAATCGCGATTTTCATGGTACATTCTTCTCATTGCTATAATGTACCACATGGCTCCCTACACTAGGGAAAGAAGAATAGATGTTGTTGGGCATAGCAAGTCATTAGAAAAGACGAGAAGATGGCTCAATCAAACGATCCATTTCTAGAAAACCAACGTGTACAGGCCGACACCTTAGTTATATTTATTGCCCTGTGAAATACAAACGGGGTTTGATAAGGTGCCTTTTTAACAGGCTTGATCGTATTTGCACAAATGACGTTATTGATGATGATGATGTTAGGTTGTTAAAGAAGCCATTAATGGGAAATGACTATCCCTTTAAATTTGTAAATAGATGGAGAGTTCATGGCACAGTGAGATCTACTATAGTCTTGGCAGAAGAAAAGCCTGTCTACATTACCATACCATTTAGAGGTGATTCAAATAGCCCTCTATTGAAAAAAGACTGAAATCAGTCATTAACAGAAAGCATTGCGCAGCAAGGGTCATTATCAAACAAAGAACAAAGTTCATGCTTCATCCAAAACCTAAAAGATATGAAAAGGATCGCATACATCACACTTTGTTTACCAATTTAAATGTGTGTGGTCACACATACATAGGGAGGAGTAATCGTGATCTCAAAATTATGATGTGTAAACATGTACCTAAATGGTTGCAGAAACAAATCAAATTAACTAACCCAATAAGGGTGAACGATAAACATCCATCATCCTCTGTTGCCAAACACATTATCGAAACAGATCACAAGATTGGTCTTGACATGGCTTTTGTGGTGTTGCACAAAAATGTAAAAGGGCGCATACAAAGGTTTATTGAAGCCTTCGCCACATAAAAATTCAACCCCCTTGTGTATTCAAAAACAGTTTGTTCTCACACTGAATCCATCCTGGTGATATTAGCTTGTTATCCAGAGTGATTAGGTTTAAAATTATTTTAAAATCATTTCTTTATCATCATTGTCTCCTATTGCCCTCCATGTTTAGTCTAGTTGACATTTTATTTTTACATATAAATGTTCGTAACAAGTATGTGTGTGATCAGATTGTTCGAAATGTGTTACGCCAATATATCATCACATAGTTCTGATAATCTTCGTTTTTTTAATACATCATCAGAAGTGTTTACCAACGGCGAGCTCGCTGTGAATAAACTTCTTGCTGGTCACGTCTTAGGGTCATCACAAACCAGTAGGAGGGAGTGGCTGAGGCGGTAAACAAATCCCAAAAGTGAATGGTTCTCTAAGTTACTGACATTGATGCTGACCTCATTAGTTCTACTGGACACGCTCTATCTGAAGGCGCTCGCACACACACACTGAGCACACTGTACTACGCATCACGTGCATCTACTAGCCAGCTTAAATCAATTGCTTCTCGACATATCGACAGTTCTCCAAATATACCTTCGAACCCTTCATTTCTGGCTTCTGATTCGACTGGGTTTGTATCCTTCGAATAAAAATATTTTGCGTGTAAATACTAAGATATTATGAGAGGGACAGGAAGTAGGCTCTGGTTATGCTGTTATGATATCCGTGGTAATTCATGGGACATGCATCGGACGCAGCCAGTTATTGAAGAGGATGTTGGTTCTGGTATGAGTACATGTTTGTCAAGTGTCCTCTTAAGGCTATCCTATAAGTGGGTTGTGATCACTTCGGCAGGGAGTACACTGTAAATGGGGATACCCCATAGTGTATGACGCAGATCCGAAATGTCATTCAGTCTCTCGTGAGGTTTCTCTTTGACTGAAAATACCTCGGCGTTAGAGGCCAGTTTGCCTACGGCATTGTTTTGAAACGAAACGAAAACTGCTTCCACCTGTTGCGGAAGTTTAAATAAGAAAAGTTATTTGAATAAACCTTCATCGAAAATTCTTCGGCCAGTAACTCCTCTCATCCTTAGCAACGTGTCTGTCACAGAACCTTGTCGCAAGTTCATGTTATTAAGGAGTTGGTCTAAACTTTGTCGATCGGTTAGCTCTCTGCATCTCAGAATCGATCGTTTTAGCGTTTCGTAAGGCTCAGAAATATCATCAGTAAACATGCAAGGTGTTACGTACCTGTTGGATTCGCGCGGTAGTGCCTATACAACCGCGACGAACTGTGCGCGTGAATCGGTAATCTCGGCTTCTGCGTAGCAGAACCATGATTCGACATTGTCCGACCGAAAAGGCATTGGTTGAAACGTTAGTGGTATGAGAGTCTTGATCTTAATGAGCTTGGGAGTGTGATCTGTCATGGCGAGTTTAAAGTATATGAAATCAACGAGGAAAAAAATTATCCCAAAATACGAAAAATATATCACAATATATAAAAAAAATAAAGCAAAACAATGATTTATGAAGGTCCAAAAAGGAACAGACTCACAGCTTATTGTTTGGTGTACCAGATCACGTCGGACTCACCACTGAAGATACCACCAGTATTGTAGTTTCACAACATTTTACCAGTAACACCTATAATCGAATCGCGCCCACCCAGTTAAATCAAAAGTCAGAAGCGAGGAGGTTGGAAGATATATTTGAAGGGTTATCAATATATCGACAAATGACTGATCTAATCTGACTAATGGTCGCGGGAGATGTTGCGCACGCCGTTCTAAAACGTGATCTGGTACGGATGTATGACCGAGCACCTTCCGCTAAATGAGTCCAATGAAAGTAATGTGGTCAGCATACAATGTCGAACACTTACAGAGCTATTGATTTTGGGGATTTATTTACAGCTGCAAGAGCGAGGCGAAATGACGCTCAGTGGAGATGGCGTGTGAGCCCACGCCGTTTAATCGAACGTTAATCAAAATTTATAGTCATACAAAAATAAGCTAATGACGTGTGTGAGTGGGACAAGATCTACACACACATACGCTAATTTAAAAGAAGTCAGGGTTGATAGGTGAATAATTAGCATGGGAAAAATGTGACCCAAGAAGAATGAATAAATCGGCCTGTTCAGAAGCTGGAATAAGTTATGTAGGCTTAACATAGTGACCAACACTACAACGGAGAGCCAGAGCAAGTAGGTAATAGTAGTGATAAAGGTCACGAACAAGATATGCAACGGTGGCGTTGGCTTTCACGCAGCACAGGCCTTCACTTAGATTGTTTACCGACAAATGATCAGCTTCCAATTGAGAATGTCCATGTTCATGAACCAATAAGAATTAGTGATCATGGTACAGTCAAGTTTGACGTGGTCACAAATGAAATACGTCGGAAGGACGAGGACGCATTCTATCTCAGCTGTACTAAGGCAGACTATATGACCACGAGGCTGGGGGAAGCTAACAGTGTATGACTACAGAGAGATAGTAAGATATATCATTTAATGGCAAATGGAGTGCATGAGAGTTCGGAGGTCTCAACATCAGAAAATTTAAAGGCGGACGACCTAAGGAACACTTATTTTCTGGTTTTTATTAACGACCGGTTGGAAAAAAATGAGCTCGGTGGTACCAATCTATTCAGACGACTCGAAGATGTAGAGGTCCATAACAAAGCTAAAACCATTCTGCTGAGCTTCAGAAGAACATAACAATAATAGGGGAAGGGGTAGTAGACACTGGTTAAGAACTGGTTGAAATGTTATGGACACTCCGCCTTATTTGATGAGAAACACTTACAACCCCTTTGGAAATCCCTCAACTGACCAGGAATGATGCGACTGAGTAGCTATATACCCGTGACTTTATCATAACAACTAGAAGCGAGGGCAAAGAAATCAGTTCAAGGAGACACTGAATCTTCAAAAATTACACACATCACCTGAAATTGAGACTAGAATAACTTTCTTTTATAACTAAGACTCATATTCCAAGGGATGTACAGTTCGTAACTTCTGTCCAATATAGTTTGAAAAGGGTTTGTGGAGGTTGTGTTGAAAAGTCAATTATGTTAACCGCCAAGCCTATCAGGATTCTACTGTACAGAGTATCCCGGATCGCTACAAACCAACGATGTATGTCTAACACATCAGGAAGTTTGCAAGTGGGTGATCCTATCCAACAGTCATTTGTTGCTAAACTACGGGAGTATCGTCAGAAGAGCGAGTAGACTTCATTCTTCTAATTAATCTCATATTCTCATTTCAGAAAATCTGAGTTCGGATTGACGGATGCTTCACCTAAAGAAATAAAAGAGCTCAGTGAAATGTTGACTAAGGTCGATAGAATTTACGGTGCGGAAGAAGAAGATATGACTCAGTTCCCCATGTTCCAATTCGAAGATCCAAAGGTTGTCATACCAGCATCTTCTCTACATGTTAATTATCCAAAAGAACTGGAGAATGATGTTGAAAATACCTTGTAGTACTCTACTACTTATTATCGCTACATTTAGTTGACACTGCAAAAAATTACCTAAATCTTTTTCATTTACTGCTTAAATACTGATGCTTTTTTCAAGAGGTTAGAGGCCTTCATATACGTTCTCTTGAAGCTTAAGATTTCATAGGCATATTCTTGGTTATTACAAAGTCCTTTATTTAGTGTGCAGCGCATGGCTTGGCAGAACAACTGAAGGTATTTTAAAACAGCAAGCTATTTAACACTAGCTCTTACTAAGTCAATGTACCTCTCATTTAAAGCCGAAACACGTCTCTGTCCTTAACTAAGCCTTCCTCGTTACCCCATGAGTGAGATGACTCCTAGTACTTCGTAAATATACGGTTTAGTTGATTTAGCCACACGAAACATCCGTATGGCAAACCTATGTTTGGAAGAGAGGATAGTATTAAAACCCTTGTCATAAATGCAGTACAGTCGTGTCCGGACTAGTGAATAAACCCCGTGGTTGATCAATACTTCATAAATATAATTCTATCGGAGCTTCTGAAGGGACAGGACATTTCTCGCAACAAATGGTCTCATACAAATACACAGAACATAGTGCCTTTGGCTTGCCAGCAATCGTATTAGGACTGTCTTAACCACCTTGGAAATTTGAAAGCGTAACAACTGTTGCATTAAACTGTTAACGAGTTGTATCTTTACAGATAACTATCCAGTAAATTTGGATCCAGGTTTCAGTAATGGGACAGGTACGAGTTTGAATTATCAGTCATTCAGCTACAACGTAGGACCAGGCACACATGCATCGGTCCAAGTTGTCATACCTCGTTAGCACAACAAAATGAACACCAGATTCATAGTAATTAATTTAGTGTTGGTGGTAGTATATAAATTATAGTTTGTATATAAGGATATAGTACAGGAAGGAAGAAAGTTATGAAGCAATTTTAATCTCAAGGTTTAAGGGAAGATAAAGAGTGTATACACCTACGCCATTGTGATCGATTCTCAGCCATGTCACCTAGAGTCTCCAACCATTGGTTACGATAGTCACGCGGACCCCAACTAAGTAGTCTGCATCTACCAACATGGCTCAAGCTAGAAGTTAGTGACTTCAAGCACTGATGCCATGTTTTGGTTTGGCCGCCCCTAACTCTCTTCCAACCATCCCCAATACTAGTCATCATAGAGCGTCGTGGTAATCGGTGTTCAGGCATACTTAACACGTGGCCTAACCATTTCAGTCGATGAAGATTCAACTGATTTACCATCGTTCCCTAATACCCTGTGTCTATCCTCACTATTACTTATCCGGTTATCCCAGCAGACGCGAGCAATATTTCTAAGGCACCTGTGGTCAAATACTAGTAACCTACGAGTATCTTCTACTCTTAATGTCCATGTTTCACAGCCGTAAAGTAGAACAGAGCGGACTGATTCGCAGTATACTCGTCTGTTAATTGGTAGACGGATATCTCGTCTTCGCCATAGGTGACGTAAGTTGGCAAAAGCCAAACGAGCTTTTTGAATCCGTGCTGAGATTTCGTCAGAAACCAACCCATTAGGGCTGGTCAGAAGATGTCGATGCGTTCGACTACTTCACTTCCTATCGTTAGTTCAGGTGTTGATGTAGGTCAGTCCTGGAGTAACAATTCACATTTAGAGGGGGAAGAAATGCATTCCAAACATCCTGGCATTACGACTCAGTTCTAACAGAAGACTGCATTTTGTCGGCATCTCCAGACAGGACTGTCATCTGCGTACTCTAAATCGATCAGTTGACCTCAATTTTTTGAAAACGTAGTGGACGAGAATGTTATTTTTAGCAATAGGTCTGTAATGAAGTTAAACAAAAATAAGGGTAGTAGACAGCCTTGTTGGACACCACCTGAGGTTGTAAAATCAGATGACAGTTCGTCGTGAGCTCTGACTCGACTGGTAGTGTTCGAGTAAAGAGCCTTCACAAGGTTTGCGTATTTCTGAGGTACACCTTTCAATGACACACTGCCACAGTCTCTCGGTCTACAGGGTCAAATGCTGCTTTTAAGTCAAAGAAAACTCATTGTCGGACGCCGATAAACATGTCTGTGCTCTAAAACCTGACGAGTAGTGTGTATGTGGTCGGTGCAGCCACGACTAGGTCTAAAGCCATCCTGATTTCCTTGTGTTTGTAGTTCACGAGTCTTAGTTAGGCGCCGGATAATTATTGAGGCAGGTATCACAGGATGGCTTTGGCCCCTTCTTAAATTCTGGGACAATACGTGATTGTGGCCAGTCGAATGGGATTACGTCCAACTCACAGATTTTAGCCACAACCTAGTCGCTAAAATTAGACCACCATATTTAAAGACCTCTCCTGTTCAACTTTAGCTGTTGTAACTATGCTAAACAATTTAATGAATAAAGCAAAAATATCAACTCATGAATTTCATACTAGAGCATGAAAGTCACTCCAGACCTAACGCCCTGTCAACATTGTATAAGATGACGTGAAGCGATAGGATTGCATTTTAACGTTACAGCAATAAATTTCGATAATGCAATGAGAAGACGAAGTTTATCAGAATTCTGTGATACATTAACGCAATACATTTCGGACAATCTGATCACACATATACTTGTTAAGACATTTTATATGAAAATTAGGTCAACCAAACAGGTTAAGGTAAGCCGTGACAGAGAAAGAAAATAAATAAAAACAATGTGGTGACTACTTTGGATAATAAATCAGCATTACCAGAGTAGGCTAAAGGTAAGAACAAATTGTTCTTGAACACAAAAGAGGGTTTTGATTTTCGTATAGCCAAGACTTCAATGGATCTAATATGTCGCATAATTCTGAGGAACTTCGTCTCCTCATTGCATCATGGACAAATCGTTTCAAATTGCATTAAATAATCAGCTAGAGACAGTTTGCAACACAGTAAATAGTTTGAAGCGCATGAACAATAAGTATGACTTCACTTCGCAAACGGCAGATCACTCTGTTGATCTAGACGAGTTTGCAGATCAAAATCTGTATCTGAGAAGATGCAGATCCCAACTGTCACAAAACGGCATTCCTAATCCTGGCTGTCCACTCAGTGAAGTACTAAAATGTAAGCCGTGTGACGACATACATCCAACTAAACCTATTTACTTGAAAATTGGTCCTCCTGAAGATACTCCACACGATGACTCGAATGAACCTAGGTTCATCTCACAAAGACAATAAAACTCCCCAGCTTTGGTAAAGATGTTTGGGGAGACAAAATCCATGATTCAGAATAGGGAAACACGCAAAATCGAACCCAATTGTTCTGTGGATATCTCAACAACAGTGAACAGGTTCTCCCAGCTGTTATCATAGACCTTGCCATCAACACTTCTGAGTAGCAAAACTGGTGGCAGACTTTAGCATGACAAACGTCTTAACACTCAGACGAACAAAAGCTATCAGAGTAACGACCACTGCACCCACCCCCCAAAGTCTAGAACCATTAATGAGTATGGTAAGAAAAAGTTTCGCAGCCCATACTCTATGTCCGTTTACCAGGATTCCGATTGTAATGACACTCAGAAAATAGGATTTCCATAACCTTCGGCTTTAACCCTCCACATGAAAATGGCTAATGAATAATAAAAGTCATGACTGCCTCCAGTTACGTGCACAAGATCCCTCTCACGCTCACACCAACCCAAATAGCTATAACCGAAGCTACGAGCTTGTCTACCTAGACCGTTTTGCGAATGGCAGTACATTCACAGTCAACCTGTACAGTTTTTGAAGCACAGCTCTTAGTGGCACCTCTGTTGAAGCATACTGCTCAAATCATTTCAAAACATGCAGAACATAAACTTGTTTCCCACGTGTAGTTCTGATGATAGAGTATTTTCGCCCTCTCCTTCTGGGTAAACTCTCCAAGCAACTTCAGTATCTCAGTTGATATATCATCCTTTAGCTCTAGCTATCAAATTAACCAGCTGTTGAAGGACAAACAATGAGATTTATGACAACTTCGATGGAGATACTCTTACCCATTTTAACTTAGTGGAACATCTGTTTAGTGTGTCTTATCAATGCTAGGTCGATCTGTAACAGAAAGACGGATCCAGCCCTGTTTGTATCTATTTATTAAACATAAATCTAGCTTAAACTCACTATTATGTGGTACGACTGAACTAAACAAACTACCGGACTCGGTGTGGAATGTTTTGAAGCCTTCAAATCCCAACTGCTCGGCTGTGTCTACCGTCAACCTAACGCATCAGTAGGTGAATTAGCAATATTGTCAGAAGTATTCACACTATTATCATCCCTTTCCGTTCACAGGCACGCTTATTTGTAGTGGCTTTAACATGCCCGAAATTTCTTGATTTCCAGTCAATGTTCCGAAGCGTTATGAAACATCTATTGAATGTGTAGTGTTGGAGCAGTGGATTCAGTATGTCAGTGGACTTACCAGACTTAGTCTTCACCAGTGACCTAACTCCCAACACTGCGCATATTGGAAAAACGTTCCCAAGTGGGGATCATAACATTGTCATTTGTTGCCTTAATATGAAAACCACTACCGGTAGACGTGGAAACTATCACAAGGTTGACTGGATAAACTTCCAAAATTACCTAAGAAGTTCTGATTGAAGAACGTCACTTAGTGCAAATAATACCACCACATTAACTAATATATTCTATCACAACATTGTAAACATCTTCAACAAGGTCACAACTAAGTTTTCAAAAATCTGTATATACCGATCTTTACGCGAAGACATCTTCAAAGACACTGTATTCGATTCCACAACCTTATTGGCTTTTCCTCTTTAGTTACGATGACAGAAATATTTGCCCAGGCCGAGGTAATACGTACACAAAAGCAGTTACTCCGGAAAAGCGTACTGTCAAACTCAATAATAACTCCTTCGCACTTATCAAACTCCTTCAAAATAAACTTAAGCGTACTAAATCAAAAGGAGGAAACGCATTTACACGGAGATCCTAAACTTGTTACGGAACTATTCAGTAAACACTTTTGCTCC